CGGGGCAGGGAGAGTGGGGTTGTGGAAGTGTTTGGTAAAACTGGTGGTGGGTGGGAGGGAAGCGATGGGGCCGCTTTTTGGTGTTTCCTGGGTAGTTCCTGTGTGTGTCGTTCACCGTCCTTTGCAGCAGCTCTCTTTGTAAACTGCGAGGTTTAGGGCTCGTCGGGAATCAAAGGGAAGCCGCCCGCCTTGAAAAGAGTAAGAAAGCACAAGTGGACGTGTTTGAAACCAGCTTGTGGGTGAGGAAGCTCCTCTGTCTCCGTGAGACCACCCGGTGTGCACGTGGATCAGTTCCGTGATGCTGCTCGTGCTCTGGGCTCTGGAAAACCAGTGCCAGCAGGAGTGGGGTGTTTGAGAAGGAGCTCTGCTGGCCGCAGTAGCTGCTCGGTCTGCGTAAGGTTAAAGTGGTGTCTTGGCGTATGTACGGTCATACCTTGGGCTCTCGTTCTCATAGCATTTGAATACTTCTCAGTTGTGTCATTTTCGGATCTGACTGATTATTTTTGTCAGTCTTTGCTGTATTAGTCTTTCTGGAGCGTTGTACTTTACTCTGACTTTGTGTTGCTTTGTTTTTGTGTGTCCGCCAACATGGGATATCATGCATCCAAGACTTAAAGCAAGGCTGTGGTTGTGCTCTACCCTTGAGCAGCTTCAGCTTTTTTTGCTCATTGCTGGTGTTTTCTAGCATAGGAGCAATATCTCCTGTCCAAGCAGGGAGCAGGTTTTTCCAAAGACATCCTCTAAAATTTGGCTTCCCATAGCAACAGAAGGTGGGTTTTGGTGAAGCTAGTCCCAGCCTAGCTGCTGGACTCCACGGGTGGTCTTCACTAACCTGCAACTCATAGTCGATCCGGTTTATCGATTGCTTTAAGCTGGCTGCTCGCTGCCTGCAGCCGATGGCTTGTGTTTATCCTCTCCCTTGCACCAGCACCGAGGTCCCTGTGGCTTTCTGGGAGCCCTTTCTGGGAAGTCACGCAGCGGAAGGAATGTTTGCTTGTGTGCCTTTGCTAGGCAGGTGCTCAGGCTGTTCCTTTGTGCACTTCGCTGCCACCACGGGAATGCTGGTGCCGTCCTAAGGGACACGGCAGGAGGTGGGAGGGTGACAGGGAGGATGATGAGGGTGTCTCCCTTTGGCGACATTCGTTTTGAATCGCTGTGCTGTGGGAGCTTCACGGTGCAGTGAACGTGGCGAGTTATTCTGGCCAGGGCTATCTTAGACAAAGCTTTTCTGAGAAGACAAACTCCTGAGTTGATACTTCCCAGACTGTTTTTCCTGTATGTTTTCCAAAATAGTTTGTATCATCTTTTGTCAGGTTGTACTAGGTGGGTTCTGCCCTTCTTCGTAACACTGTTTTTGAGGATTCACCTCCTGCTGTGGCTTCCCTGGGAGAGACACGTCTCACGTTTGGGAAACTCTGTGCTGTGAAGGAGGTCGAAATGAGTGAGCAGAGTAGAGAAGATAAGGGAAACCAGAGTGAAGTGATGAAATTATGTGCTGACACTGGCTTTTTTTGACTGTGTGTATTACCTGCCTGCCTTCGTGAGTGAGCAGAGTAGAGAAGATAAGGGAAACGAGAGTAAAGTGATGAAATTATGTGCTGAGACTGGCTTTTTTTGACTGCGTGTATTACCTGCCTGCCTTCAGCAAGGTTTCAGTGTGTGCGGGTGGTAGGCAGATCAGGTTTAGTGTTCAGTTCTTGTTACAGTCAGGGTGGTTTTGTGTTTCAAATTCAGGTGGACAACAACAATTGTCCATCTGGATTAACGGAATGTTGCACAGTTAAAGCTGTGAGTTACTCTTTTGCGTTTGTTACCGTTGTGGTTTCAGTTGGCCTCTCAGCATGAGGGAAGGGAGAAGTTTGTTTTACCTGTAGCTGCAAGAACTGAATTTTTTACTCCAGTGGCTAGATGAAATTTGGGGAACTGTTATAGAAAAAGGCAGTTTGTGGGCTTACAAGTGTGGCTTACTAGCTACTCACATGAATGCTTACTCTGGAGTGAGCTGGTGGCAGCTAGCAGTGGTCGTTCTGGTCGCTTTGCCAAACTCTTGTGTCACTGATGGGATCTGTTCCGAGGATCTGGGTAGCCCTCAGCTTAGAGGGCTCTCAGGGACGCTGTGTCACGATCGCGTCTGCCAAGGGCAAGTGGGTGCTGAGGGTACTGGGGGGAACTGGAGAGCGATGTGTCTGTACCAGCTGCACCTATCGAACGTCTGACTGAGGACATGGCGTTCGCCTTCTCCCAGCCGGGGCTGTGGATCTCCAGAGAGCTGATGTCTGGAGCAGTGTGCACATATCCTGCCCGTTGTCTTCAGTGGGAACTCGCAGGGATGAACAGTTCGGTCTTTTACTTATGGTCAGCCTCACAACTGGCTGCAGGATCCGAGCCTTTCCTTTGCCAGCTCCTCCTTTCCTTCGTTACTTCAAAGGTTGACTGGACCTCCATTCCAGCAGTGACGTTGGGCTGTAGAGACGGCAGCTCCGTCAGTTATCCGTGGTGTTTGTGACCGGGCAGGATGGCATCGGCGCTCGGGAGCAGCAGAGCGCCTGCGAGGGGACGTTCAGTTGTCATGTTCTGAAGCAGTGCTCTTTGGATCCAAAGGGCGCAAACAGAGTTTTAGCAGTGGAAAGTAGATTCTTTTCCAGCTTTGTCCTCACTGTAAAGAGTGTGTTCCAGTTTTGTCCTACCAGCTTGTCCAGCTGTTTCTGGATAATGCTTTAAGGAATGTCTGTTTAAAAGCAGTCACAATTTAAACGGCAAGTGTATCTACAGTCTGTAACAAGTACAGTTTTCTCCAAGAGCGGGAGACTTATCATTTTCATCACGTTTGTAAACATTTAGATTAATCTTCATTTAATCAAAACTGCTCTAGTGTTTAGGTAAAATAAAGGCTTGCATAGTCTTGCTTTTACTGAGATTGTATGTCTTTTTTTTTTTTAAAGTTGAGCTTGTAATAACAAATGTTCTTTATTAAAAGAAAAGGAAGAATCGACACACGAAACTGCAGGGTCAGATCCTGATGTCCTCATCCACGTTGCTTTCTTCCAACTTAAGAGCACGTTGCAGTTCCAGTAAGGACATTACACAGATAAATCATATTCATTACAGTTTTTTATATTAAAATCTGGTCATAAATTTGAGAGCGGATGAGGACAGTAGTGAGAAGCTGTAGTTTGTCTTACCGTAGATGAATTTAAACTTCTCTCACGATGTAATCAGCTCTATGTGTGTTTTAGGATTGCTTATAAATCTCTCTAATCAGAAATTTTGTATCTCCCTGTAGCTCGTCTCTTTGAAATATTAAAAAGTTGATCCTTGTTCTCTTACCTTGCTAGATTATTTCTTTTTCTTAAATCTGATTAATCGTCTTCTTAAGATGAGCAGGAAGAATAAGAGGAAGATCTTGAAGATAATATAAAATCCAGGAGAGAATGTTCTTAATCAAATTCATACAAATTAATAAAGCTGCAACTAAAGTATCATATTTGAAGATCTATTTTCAATGGTTTCAAAAGAGGCCGTAGATTAAAAGTGAACAGTTCCTTTCTATCACAAGAGATATCGCTCCCAGATACTTAAACCTTCTGCAGGGCTGTTACATTAACAATCTGGTGGGTTTACGAGGACGTAGTGGGGAAGCTGCTGACACAGCAGTATGCTAATGGAAACGGGATGGCTTTCCAAGCCGTCTGAAAGAGATCAGACTTATTTAGCTTTACCTTCAAGACTGACAATAATCAGTGGCTGGGGCAGTTTTATTTTCCATATCACATAGCTGTAAGCCTTTGATATCTTGAGGCATAGCTCTGGGAAGAGGTTTGATGGAAGATCTGTAGAACACCAGGCAAGCTTCTCGTGCCGTTATCTGATGCAAACCAGAATGAATACTCTTCTTTTGTAACTGGGGTCTTGGTTGCCCACAGGAGCTGTATTAGAACCTCAAGCTACAGTACAGTGTTTGCACCTGGCGATTAGTTTCTGCTAAAACCATGTGGGTTTTGTGTGTTTGTGTTCTAGAAAGGGTGATAAAGGGAGCAAACAGTGGTCCAGATGTCATCTGCCATGATTTGACTAGTTTGGGTGAACAGTCCAAGATAGATGTGAGTTTGCAGAAATTTCATATGTTTTAAAGAAATGAAATAGAGGGGCTTGGTGTTCAGTTACTTGAAAATGACTCCACAAAACTGCCCTGAAAGAATTCCGTGCACCTGTAACTGTGAAAAATGTAAATACTGGATAAAGGCTTGTTTTGCTTTAGAGGTTGTTGCCTTTTAAGACTGGGATAAGTTCAACCAGTTCTGCTGCTACTCTGGGCAGGAAAATTGTAAGAAAGTCGATGGTACGATCTGTAAGTTTGTTGTTGTGTTTGGTTTTTTTTTTCCTTTTGAGTCTGATCGTTTGAGCCCTGTGTTGGAGACGTGGGAAGCTCATTTAACGAGTTGTGGGCAGCAAGCCTGCAGCTAGAAGTTCAGAGGAAGTGCTTGGTGTTGGCTCCTCCGCTACCGATAAATTCCATGTGGATGAGAACCAGCGTGTGACATTTTCCCTCCTGTCTCGTGCAGTCCTGCAACCGTAGCCTTTACGTAACAACACGGCGTTAATTTTTTTAGGTTCACTTTATGCCAGGCTGTTCAAGAGTACACTTCATTCCAGCTTTGTGATCTGTTACAACCCTTTCCTGTCATCATTTCTCGTTTGACTTTTCCGCGATCAGCTCGTGTCTCTTCCGTCACTGATGCTGTCAGTGTTTAATTCAGTGGTTTGTGTGTTTGGCTGGTGGTACTGGTTTGAACAGGAGAGTGCTGGGTTGCTCACAGTGCCTCTGAGTGTCGCCAATTGCCTTTTGACCAAACTCAATTAAAAAATGCCAACAACAACAAAACCCCAAACAAAACCGCCCAAACTTATGATGAGGAAACGGAACCGAACGGAACGTGGTTGCTAATGCCCCAAGTAGAGGAGCCACCCTTGGAAACACTCACCAGTGTTTCAAAACCGCTTACTTGGGTGCGTGAGAAGAAGGGGCCGAGGTGGGTTTTTGGAGGGATGTCATTTTGCCAGCTCCAGGCTCTGCTCTGGGGCTGATTAGAGTCTGTTCCCTTCGCCCAGACAGTTCCTTGTCAGTGGCATGACAGCGTGCACGGAATAACCTGGGGTTGTTTATTCCAATTCAGCTGAGTTTTGTTTTCTCTGTACTCCTAGGTTTACCTTGTGTAGCCTGTTGTAAGTGTTCTAATGCTTTGCACTCATGAGTAAAGCATTTCCTTATTTTCGGAAGTGGAATGTAAGGACTGGATTTTATTTCGCATCTCAGGTATATCCACAGACAAACTCAGAGGCAGGAGTTGAAGAGCCATGGGGTGTGAGCATCCCAGTGCATTTGATAGTCAGCAAGAAAAGTAGGCATATATACCCAAATTGGAGACTGGCTGGTGGGATCCGAAAGGATCTCCTTTCTTTGTGTAGAGGAATCTGGGAAAAGTCCTCTTTCCAGTTAAACCTCATCGTCCTTTGCTCACCGGGATGTGCTGATACACTTTGGGAAGTTTGTCACGTCATCAGCTGGGCAGTGAGAAAAGGCAGCGGTGCAAGTTTGTTTGGATGTGTCCATCTGGGGAGCTAGGTGTTTAAAGTGGAAAGAGTTTGGTGCTTCTTGGTTAGCATGTTAGTTACAGCATCATATTATAAACTCTGAAGTCTGGCTGCTAAATTTCGAGGGAGTCAGTATGGTCCAGGCAATAGAAGGAACTACTTTCTTGAGTAGTGTGAGGTGTGGAAGCTTCTTGTTAATGATACAGAAATGAAATGGCTCTGCTGTAACTCATCATAGTATCTTCTAGTTCTGCTAGTTTATAAACTTCTTTTTTAATAGTGCCTCTTTTTTCAGTGTAAGCATGCATCTTCAGGTAATTATGTGCGTAGCTTGTTCCTATCTTTTCTTCTACTGTCCCTGAAAAAAAAAAACTTTTAGCAGTCTGTACACTAATACTTCTGTTGGTTATTTGTGCTACTTCTCTAACCAAGTACTGAAATATTTGTTTTCACTGCGTTCCCAGGCTAAAGAGTGCAATGGCATCAAGGCTCCGATCGACACAAGCAAGCCAAACCCCAACGAGGTGGAGTTCGACAACCTCTATTTGGACATGAATGGTATCATTCACCCTTGCACGCATCCAGAAGACAAGTAAGGCAGTTTTTTTGTCTCTTTACAAGCAGGACTTGTTGGTAGCATTCCAGATATTAAATTGAATGCTCTACGTTTTAGGCCAGCGCCCAAAAATGAAGATGAAATGATGGTTGCGATTTTTGAGTACATTGACAGGATCTTCAACATTGTAAGACCAAGGCGACTCCTTTACATGGCCATAGATGGAGTAGTAAGTATTGGTACAGTCAGTTCCTGGTGACAGCTCTCTGTAAAACCAGGGTAGGTGCCATCCACTCTTGTAAGATCCTTTGGGAAATAGCTTTCTAAATGAACAGCTACAGGTAAAACGTACTGTTAATTTCATTTTGGTGAGGGTGATTAATAGTATTCATGGGTTTTGTTGCCCATGGGGTTATTTGAGCTGGCTAATGCAATCTGTTGCAGTCTGAACTTTGCTTCTGAAAAGCAGGAAACTTCTAACACTCTGAAATGACTTGTGTTCCTCTGTGCTGTGGCTTTAGTAATAATTTGTGCCACAGGCTGGGAAAGACCAGAAAACAGTTTAAGCAGATCACTTAAAATGGGCAGTAGCTGAATTGTGCTGTGGAATATTTCACAGGCTAGCCTTAAGGCACGTTTGGAGCTGAAAGCTTGTCTTTCTGCATACCTGATCCTTATCTCCTCATGGTACATCAGTTACTCTGCTGGAAGATACCACCTTTTCTTAATAACTTTGCTTTGCTGAGTATTTTGATCCTTTGAGGTCCCTTCCAATCCCTATCGTTCTGTGATTCTGTGATTTTTCTATCCAGATTGCGTAGTCTCACTGAGAGGTGCCAGAATGGCCTAGCAGACTGCCAGTAGCAGCCTTTTAAGCTTTGGCTGTTTTTCTAGGCTTTTCAATTTCTCAAAGGTAAAACGAGTATCATTAAGTAAAAAGATTTTTAAACTGAATCCAAGTGCAGGAATTCCTGATGCCTGTGTCTATATAAAGTCAGCCCAACTAAATGTTGGCGTATCCTTTTAGAAACCCAACATACCTGCCGTAAGTAATAGCTAACTCCTGTCTGCCATAGTCTTTATATTTTCAAAAGAGTTATGAGTACAGTTGTAGGAGTTTCTTGTTGGAGGAAGGGTATGTAATAAATAATGGTTCCCAGATAGGAATAGGAAATTGTGTCCAGGTGCAATAAGTGAGCCAAGCATTATGATGCCTTTTTTAGGCTCCACGTGCCAAAATGAATCAACAGCGGTCAAGAAGATTCAGAGCATCAAAGGAGGGCATGGAAGCTGCTGAAGAGAAGCAAAAAATACGACAAGAAATTCTGGCAAAAGGTAGAACTGTGGCCATATCTGAGTGTTTTTTTTTCAAGTGAGAGTCACCTCGATTGTTTAGAAAGCTTCAGTACGGTTTGGAAAAGGGGTGTCTTGCTTAGTGGATGTTTGTCTGTACATCACTAGGAGAAGGAGGGGATAGCAAGCCTGCAGAAGGATAGATCTGTGTTTTCAAAGTTAAAACTAAGATAAAACAAAATGTCACTGTTTTTTTTTCCTTCTGTGTCCTGCTTGAAATGGATTTGTATTGAGTACTCTTAATTCCTGTAGAAAAAAATTGGACAGAAGAGCAGGGATAAAGGTAGTAGTGGGAAACTAACCGAAACTCTTACGGGAGGAAGTACAGATTTGTAGGGCTTGATGAAAGGAGAGCTGAGGCTTAAAAGCAGGGATCAAATGAAAATACTGCTGCACAGGAATAGTGACCTGCAAGCAAGGGTAGTTACTCGACAGTGGAAACTCTAAACTCAGCGAGGAAACAAAGTCAGCGCAACTTCCCGAGTGTGACAGTGATCTGAGTGGAGTGGAAGGAGTGTGTGCAGCTGGAGCAATTCCTGCAGGTGACTGGGAAGTGGAATGAGTGCCATGGCTCAAATGAGAGGCCATTGTGTAACCTAGGTGGAGGTTAAAAAGGGAGGACAAAGACTTTTTTAACATTTCTTCCTGTAGCATTTCTAGACTACGAAGATCCTTTATGAAGCTCAGAGATGAGAGAAGTTGGTGTAACCCTGTTTGTGAGCCCAAGTGAATAGATAGTGGAAACATAGGGGAGAATATGTAAGAAAATAATTATTTCCTAATGTTTTATCTCATTTAGCAAGCTTAGTTTCTTAGAGATTTCTTTCACAGTCTTTTGATAGAACAGATAGTGAAATCACTTTTCTGAAGTAACAACAACGTTTGTAAATGTACTGATACTTTATTTTAAGTTGGAGATAATATAATGGTAAGAGCTGGTTTAGGGCTTTTGTTGTTGTTTGTGTTGTGATTTATTTATTTTTTAAAAGAAACTAACTTTCAGTAAGTATTAATTGTTATCAGGGGAGCCATCTGGGTTGTTGTCATGCAAAAATGTTTTCAATGTTCCATATTGATTGACTTCTTCTGTTAAATGTTTTTATTGCTCTAGGTGGCATTCTTCCTCCAGAAGAAGTGAAAGAGAGATTTGACAGCAATTGTATTACCCCGGTAAGTAATCTTGCCCTCTAAGTAGCAATTGCCAGTGTCTGAGTGAAGGTTTAATTTCTTTTCTTCCGTCGCTTTTTAGGGAACTGAGTTTATGGACAATCTTGCTAAATGTCTCCGTTATTACATTGCTGACCGTTTGAACAGCGACCCAGGGTGGAAAAATTTGACAGTAAGTTTCACAGTTTCATACTTCAGGAAAATGAAGGTGATCTGTTAGGCTGGGTTGGGGTGTGATTGAAGAGTGTAAATTGAACAGATCCGTCTCACCTTCAGGCACTGTGCTATTATTATTAACGACCAGCCTCCGTGTTCTGCTGGGACTGCAGAGATACGTTTCATCCCAATAACACAGTCCAACAGCACCATTTGTTTGATTTCGTTTGAGAGCAATGAAAAGATTTGGTAGTAGAAGCCACAATTTGAAATAATGGGAGACAGGGTTTAGGAATACTTTTTCTTCTTTTTGGGAAAAGTGTCAAGATACATTGTGTATGTTTTCTTTTCACTATTTCTTTTTTAACTCGTTTGCTGCCTTAGGTAGGCTGCGTTTTCTCCGTTCTTCTCGTGTTGGATGACAATAGATCACAGGCAACAAAAATAACACATATCAGCTTTCCTGCCTTTCTGCACTTTGAAATTCTCTCCTCCTGTTCCTCAACCACTCCACTCCCACTGAGTTTTGTTTCTGACAACCCCGTGTTTGCTCGGTACGAGAGGGCAGAATAGTCAGTCTTCTCAGATGCAGCTGTCTGTTTTATTTTCCATGAGTTGACTGTTAAAGTGGTGTAATTAGAGGGCAGTTGACTCTGCTTAATTCCCTCCGTCAGACATGAGTTTTATAAATGCTAATGCTCATCTGGACATCAGCGTAAGGAAGTGTGTAATGTGATAATGTATCCTTGTGTCTGTGAGTTAGAGGATCCAAAGGGGAGCAGGCATGTGTCTGCTTTATCCATTAGTTCTCTAGTGCGTATTTCCATCGCCCTCATAATTTATTAGAAAACTTCAGATATGTTAATGAGGCCATAATTTCAGTGGTATTTGAATCAATATGTCAGCCTCATCCTAGAATTGGTAGAGGAAAATGAAGGTCAATTTATTGGTTCTAAACTCTTAAACAACTTCGTTTTGAATCATAATATTCTAGTTGAAACGTACAAATTAAGATTTCAAGAATTCAGTATATGAACTACATAAGTTATTAGGTTTTTTTCACAGTGGCGGCGTAAATTGTTGATGTAATCTGTAAATATTTTGCAGGTTATTTTGTCCGATGCTAGTGCTCCTGGGGAAGGTGAACATAAAATCATGGATTACATTAGAAGACAAAGAGGTAAAATTCAAATAAACATGATGACTGTGAACATTTTGTTTTAAATTAAGGTATGGTCAGTAATAATTTATTTTACGCGACCAAATGTAATTTTCTTTCGTACAGCTCAACCAAACCATGACCCAAACACTCATCATTGTCTGTGTGGGGCTGACGGTGAGTTCTCCTGTGCAAGCAGTACGTCCTGCTGCATTTTCTTGTGCTGTTTTGTGATAGAGTTGGGCTGCAGTTCTTAGGCTCTAACTTGTCTTTGTGTAAATAATCCAGTGTATTTGTTAGTTTTTGAGAGCCCTGTGTAATGTACATGGAAAGATCTCACACTGTCCGTAGCTGAAGGGCTAACTTGGACATGGTTGTGCTATCTGGGTAGTTTGTGGGTGAGCACGTCTGTGTGTTCACACTGGCTTAAGGTAGAATGTACTTTGCTTTTTAACTTTTAAAAAAACACTTTAATAATGGTTGTCCTTCATTATATTTAATTCTTCTCTTTTGATTCATAGCTGATCTGATTATGCTTGGGCTAGCTACACACGAACCAAACTTCACTATAATTAGGGAAGAGTTTAAACCAAATAAACCCAAGCCATGTGCTCTTTGTAACCAGATGGGTCATGAGGTTAAGGATTGCCAAGGTTTGCCCAGAGAAAAACAAGGCAAGGTAAGAATTTTGCTATTTCTAGAAGTTCTTTTGATCTGTAAGCTAATTTGTGTTTTAATGAGATCCTCCAATTGTTCTTGCTGTTGGTTTTGGCTGAAACACAACGCAAATTACGTTACTGGAATTACCTAGCCTTCCTAGCAATAAGTAAAAATTGTACTTCTGTAACACAAAATATTATGCCAGACCTGACATCCTCACTTATGGTGTCTTGTTTTTCTTTTTCACTGGTGAGAGCAAATGATCAGTAACTGAACAGGCATGCAAAGCAGCAGATCGCATGCTTGGCGTAAACATGAGGAACTGTGCTGGTGTACCTCTTACCTGCTCCCAGAGTAAGCCTCTAAAATTGAGCTGGAGGAACTTTAAGGTGAGCTTGGATGTAACACAACTCTTTCCTTTTGTTTTAGCACGATCAGTTTGCAGACAGTCTTCCTGTTGCTGAACAAGAGTTTATCTTCATCCGATTATGTGTTTTGCGAGAGGTATGTCGAGGCAGTTACTGTTTCTGCTTTATGTAAAGTAATTTTTTTTTAAACTCTGTACGCAGAGTTTGCTGATGTCCCTTTGCTTTTGTGTGTGTGTTGCAGTATTTGGAAAGGGAACTCACTATGGCCAGTTTGCCTTTCACGTTTGATTTTGAAAGAAGTGTTGATGACTGGGTCTTTATGTGCTTCTTTGTGGGAAATGACTTCCTTCCTCATCTGCCATCTTTGGAGATCAGGTAGCTGAGAATACCTGTTTTCATTTCCTGCAAGGATAGCTCCTGTGGTTTTAAATTATGAGAGTCTCATGCTGTTGTTTGTTTGTTTTTAGGGAGGGAGCAATTGATCGCTTGGTTAACATATACAAAAACGTTGTGCACAAAACTGGGGTAAAATTTTTTACTTTTTCTTTAAAAATATCTGGGTGTTTGCTACAAACATAGGTTTGTTTTTCAACAATGCTGTTTTCTAATTTGCAGGGGTACCTCACAGAAAGTGGGTTTGTCAACCTACAGCGAGTCCAGATGATCATGTTAGCGGTTGGAGAAGTTGAAGATAGTATTTTCAAAAAGAGAAAAGATGACGATGTAATTTTTTTATTACACTCTTGGAGTTTGATTTTAATTACTTGTGTTACTGTTAGACACTGACATGCCTTTAGCAGAATAAGAAAAAAAACAAACTTTATATTTTTTTGTTGTAATCTCTAGTGAAGTCCTCCGTATTCGAAAACGAATTGAGTGCTTCCAGTTGAATTTCTTTTCCTGGACTGCAAGGCCTGTTTTTTCTGATTGTTATCCCAAGTAACAGCAAAATGAAAATTGTGTGTGAGTTCTGTGACTGCCTACAGCTTTTTGAATAGCCACTATTAAAACTGAAGAAGGAATTGGTTTGTAATTTACTGCAACCTGTGGAAGTGCAAGCCACGAGCAGGAGTGGAATACTAAATTTGAATTCCAGGTGTATTCTTGCCTTGCAGGACCTCCTGCCATTTGAAATGTGTCCATGAATTGTTGTTCTTCTGGTCTGTCTCTGCAGTTGGTGCAGTTTTTTGCAGACATGTTCCGGTTAATTCATTAAGTACAAGAGAGAGAACACCTTGTGAATGAAAGAGTAGAATTGTATTTACTTTCCAGTGAAAAAATACTGTGCCAGTGCTGGCAAAACACTTTTTTTTTTATGATCACCTCAGCCTGCACTTCTCTTAAAGTGGAAATGCCAATTTGATGAAGTTTTCAGTTTCCTTGTCCCGAGAGTAAGAAATATCTTTCCTTGAGCCTCTTCATTGCCTGTTTCCAGGAGTTTAATGTCCCTTTTTTTTTTTTCTGACTGTTCCTGTGCGGGCAAGGAGCTTGTGTCCTTTGACACTGATGTCACCTTGGAGTAAGGCTATAGCTAAACTTCATAGATGATATAAGCCATTGCCAAAATTGTGGGGCTTTGAACACACAGCTACTTCCCCCCCCACCCCCATAAGTTTTCAGGGTAGTGTAGGAATTTCTATCCCATTTCTGCTGGATTTAGAGCCACAAGAGTTGACCTATGTGTTATTCAGAAGATTACGTGAAAACCTTATGGCCTTCTGGTCGGTAGAGGATTATGGTGAAAAACCTTTCTAAGAAATCTGTGTGCTTGACTGACACTATTTCTATTTATTCTCTATTTAGGATAACTTTAAAAGACGGCAAAAAGAAAAAAGAAAAAGAATGAAGGTAAATTAATTCCTTTCACAATGCAAAAACTAGCAAGAATTAAAATGTGTGCTGCAGCTTTCAGCAGATGTGTTGATGGAAGCTGCAGTTGTAATCGTGGCACTTTCTGGCCCGTGTGTAAACTATTTTAATGAGCTTTTTCATGGCTTTTCGTAGACTGGAGCTTCGAAAGAAGGAATTTTGTATTAAAGGCTTCATAAAAGGGAAAGGAGGGAGGGTGCTGAACGTGCTGAATGAAATCTGTATGTTGTGTCCTTCAAGTCTACACAGATCTGCAGCATCATGATTATTTAGGGATGTTTCAGTGTGGGCACTGTATAGGAATTGCCTTTCCATGCATTCACACAAGTCTTTTCAGCAATTGCATTGCTGAGAGCAGTGGGGTTTAGCATTAAGAGTTCAGGCTTAAATACGTATCCCAGTTGGCATTAAATGGGTTTGCTTGATTAGAGGCATGTTTCTAAAAAAAGCAAGGAAGGCTTTCCCCAAACCATAGTCAGCATTCCCAAATATCTCTCAACTGTACTAGAGGAGCATTGGCTGTTGTGGGAACGTTGGCCCTTTCTGACCCATGTAAGCCAAATTCTTTAAAATTATGTTATTGGAAGGATGTTGAGTTTTCATCTATTTGCAAAATGTTTTGTTTAAAAAAAATGGGACTCTTCTATGTCCATTTCTACGTAGCTGTGTTCTTGGTTAGGACGTTCAGATAAGTGTAGCTTCCAAAACTTTGAAGGTGTGTGATATTCCCACTCTGAGTACATCTTGTGTTTGTTTTTTAAACTACGTAGTTTGTGATTATCCCTGTCAGAGTGGAAGAAGTTGCTCGCTTTGCTTACAAAGAGTACATTCTTCTCAGTCAGTTAGGTGATGTCTCGCTTCCCCCAAAAGCTGCTGTTCAGCCCACGTAGCAAGAACACGGGCACAAAACGCAGGGTTTGTTTGGGGTTTTTTTGATGGAGCTTAATAAATTATAGGAATACAAGAGTCTCACTTGTGAGTGTCATGTCTGGTTGAGATGGTTAAACGTAACTAATTTAAGCTGAACTGAGTGAATGAGTAAATTACGCTGATTTTAGGTAACACATTAACCTCCAAGTTGTGAGAGCACGTTGTCACACGCACGGAGATTACATCTTTGCCGGTGTGCCTCTGTGTGTTTATCTTTTAGAGGGATCAGCCTTCCTTTATTCCTGGTGGACAGTTTTCTCCTCAAGCTCTGGGAAGTCGATCTAGCCCTCAGGCAATCAGTAACCCTAGACAAGCTGCCTTTGAGATGAGGATGCACGACCGCCAGAACTCTGTGAGTAGGCATTCAAAGGTGTTTACACCTGGAAGGGGAAGTCATCACATCCTGCAGTAGTCTGGACACCTTTTTCTCTAGCCCATCAAGCTTTCTTGAAAAGCAGACACCAAAAAAATCTATTTTTTTCAAGGATGTGGCTTTTAATAACCAATTTTTTGTGAGACTGCTTGAATAAAATGGTGTTCTTTGCTTTAATGTTTGGTATGATACTGCTCGTTAAGTAGTTCAAGGGGGCAAGTGTGAGGTGAGTGTATCCAAGTCAAATCCGGTGGCTCTTCTCCCCAAACTTGCTCGTCACTCTGGAGTCAAACCTCTTTGTGAGTACATGTTTAGGAACTTCCTCAGTAGGTTTGTGAGACACAAACTGAACACCTGAGCTGGAGGTCTTTTAATATTCTTTTTGGAATCCGTGTCCGCACGGAGACATGGGTATCTGCACTTTGGAAATTTGTGGTTCTCGTAGCTACGTGCTCTTTGGCTGCTTTTGCCTTCCAAAGCATTGCTTTTCCATGGGAAGAGGAGAAATTTATATGGAAATTTTGGAAAGGTATTAGAAAGTGAGGGAAGACTGGAAACAAGTTGAGTGGTCTCTTGGAAGTCTAGATTGTTAACTTTAAGTAACAATTATGACGAATATTTTCTTTCTGGGCATAGATCTTCATCCAAACAGTGAACTAATTTTTAATTAAAGGTCCTTTTCGTCATAAAGATGTGTGTTCTGTCTCTTAAGTCTAAATAAATAAAATAGGCTTTTTCAAAGTATAATTTCTGCTGTTTTTCCCATTTAATCTTGAAACTTTTGCACATGGGTTAAGCAAATCAGTCTTTTAATGGAATGGGAGAAGTTGCTTTTAGACTCTAATATTAAAGTAGATAAATTTGAAAGGAGTTTGGAAGAAACACGGAGTATTTTTGCCAGTTCTGAATTACAAGCCGCATTTTTACAGTAGTCTGCATATGCATTTTTCACTGTTGCTGTAAAATGAAATTGCAACATAAGCTGTAGGACTAGAGAAAACAGTTGCATTCCAAAATTGGAATATATCAAAAATGGCATGTTTTATCAATTTATACTGTCTTGTTTATTGCGTCTTTTTCTTTCTCAAATATACTGAACTTTTTGCCTGCGTGCATCGACGCCTGCCTCTTCTAATACAAAGATGTGGTGTTCTCTTCTTTTGCTACTTGACTTAATAGTTTAAGGATTGTGTAGCTTTTGCCTGGAGTTTTTGGGGAATGAAAAGTAATGCATGCGATTATCGCAAAGCTGTTAATTTTAACTTGAATTTAAAATGCCTAATAAATCCTTTTTCCCTCCCTCTATTTATCTGTATTAATTCTGACCCCAGACAACTTCATCATCTCCAAATACCAGCCTCACTTCTGATGGCAGCCCATCCCTGGCAGGAGGAATTAAGCGAAAAGCTGAAGATAGTGACAGTGAACCTGAGCCAGAGGATAATATCAGGTGAAGCCATTTTTTGTAGCACTTTGTTAGCAAATTGCTGAAATAGATGCAGTCTAATTAATGCCTTTTAGCTTAGAGAAGCAGTGCCTTCAGATGCTTTTCTATGATCTTTTTATCCACTGGTAATTAATGTGGAGGGTCAGAATATTCAGTAAATTCCAGCGAGATGTGTAAGCTCTAGCTGTTAAATCTGAGTATCTAGATTAGTATGCGTGCAGGTTTTCATCCTCCAAGCCACTGCTCCCTTTGAGACCAAGCACTAGATGGGCTTGACGTTCACTGTCAGCTCGGATTATGTGAGCTGAATGCCACTGTTTTGCAGTTGAATTTTGGAGCTCTTTAACCCATAAAATTCAGTTACGTTCGCGTGTGCAGCGTTATTTATCTCGACTACCACGATATGTTTTCCTCCACCTTTGATTTGCAGCAGGCCCTGTTTTGTCTATGACGAGTTCTTCAGAGGTCTTAGGCTGGCTGATCCCTCCATGATTAAGAGAGAGGGATTTTTTGAGAATTAACTGACAGTGAATTACCAGTGAGTGTGCATTTATCAAAGGTTTAAATCAGGCTATCGTCCTTTAAGTAGAGGGTGAAGGCCCTTATTTTTCGTTGAAGGTTCTGTCCTCCTCAACCAGGAGGTTTTTGTTTTCCATGGAGTCATGGGATGTAGGTGGACATGGGGAAAAAAAGAAAGGGTTACTTCATTGTGAAGTAGTCATCACTAGTGTCCAGCACTGTTGTCGTGACGTATTCGTGACATCTAGCCCATCAGATCTTCCAATACCAGGTATTTTAGAATCATAGAATCATAGAATGGTTAGGGCTGGAAGGGACCTTCAAAGGTCATCTAGTCCAACCCCCCTGCAAGGAACAGGGATATCTCCAGCTAGATCAGGTTGCTCAGGGCCTCGTCCAACCTGGCCTTGAACGTCTCCAGGGATGGAGCATCCACCACCTCTCTGGGCAACCTGTTCCAGTGTTCTACAACTCTCATGGTAAAAATTTTTTTCCTAATATCCAACCTGAATCTACCTCCCTCTATTTTAAAACCGTTACCCCTTGTCCTATCAAGCTCTCATTCTTGCTTTCTTTCCTGTATGTGCAGGTCTGAATGGATTGATTATTTTGTTTTTCGTTTATTTTATTTTTAATGAATCAAGCAAGATTTCTGTCTAAAATGAGGATGAATTTTAATGTTGCTTTCCATTTTAATTTTAGTGGAGATTCTGAAAGAAGCTTTAAGAGTTTTATAGCAACTAGTGTGAATGAACCATGGTGATTGACAGGTATCAATAGTCTTGACAAGGTTGATACTGTCAAGCAAAAGGGTACACTGCAGTCGTCCACAGTTGTTTAAGCTCTTTTGTAGCTCAAAATATTTGTTCAGATCCTTTTCTGAGTGGAAAATAGGTTTGTGCTTTTCATTGTAAGTAAAACAAATGCATAAATGGACTAATGGCAACAAAGTTGTTTACAGAAATATATTTTGTGTTTAGAATTACTTTAAAACTAGAAAAAATAGTTCTAATCAGCTAGCAGATTGGCTTTTGTTATCTTATGGAAAAGGTTTTTGAAGTTTATGCCAGTGTTTAGCTGCCAGGGAGCTCCTAGGATCAGATGCTTATAGACTGCAGATGTTCTTGACTCTGTCCTTCAAGACTTTAGCACAAGTAGCTCTGTCCTTGCTCAGCTGGCTTGCTTAAACTCTTGAAAACATCTCTTGATTTCTCCACCTCTTCATCAGTTTGAATCATCTTTGAACTAGCTCAGGTCAGATTTTAAAAAGCGTCCTTGTACGGGGTGTCAGCCAGCTTGAAACAGAAGCAAGAGGAATCCTTTTTGCAAAACCAGATTTTTAAAATCCCTGTACCAGTCAACCAACTTGAAACAGAAGCAAGGGAAGATCCTTTTTGCAAAACTAAAAGGATATATGTCATGTAGAGAAGCACAAACAGGTCTTTGCTCTGCCGTATTTTGTATTTCTTGCACTGAGATTCTGACAGTGCAGTCTGAGTTGACCTCACAGGCTACTTGTGTGCTTCAGGTTCCGTACGTAACTTGAAGCGCTCACAGCCTGTGTGGAAAGGGATCGTGCATGATGACTTTCAGACATGACAATCAATGCCAAGTTTTGAATTGTTGAGAATAAAATTATATATATTTAAAAAAAATAAATCATTTTTAAGGGATTATATGATTTAAGCCGTTTCTAAATCAGGTTTGTAATTTGCTTTACTCTAGTTCGCTTGAACACCAAAGTTCATGTGAACTTTGAGTTATGTAAAACATGCACTATGGTGAATAATAGTTTTAAACTTAAAAAGAAAACCAAACCCAGAAACAAACAACAAAACAAATTAAAAAAAAAAATCGAGAGAGGTGATTCTTCCCCTCTACTCTGCCCTTGTGAGACCTCACCTGGAGTACTGCGTCCAGTTCTGGAGCCCCCAACATAAGAAGGACATGGACCGGTTGGAGAGGGTCCAGAGGAGGGCCACGAAGATGATAAGAGGGCTGGAGCACCTTTCCTATGAGGACAGGCTGAAAGAGTTGGGGCTGTTCAGCCTGGAGAAGAGGAGGCTCCGGGGTGACCTTATAGCAGTCTTCCAGTACCTCAAGGGGGCCTACAGGAAAGATGGGGAGAGGCTGTTCAGGAGGGCCTGTTGTGATAGGACAAGGGGTAATGGTTTTAAAATAGAGGGAGGAAGATTCAGGTTGGATATTAGGAAAAAATTTTTTACCATGAGAGTTGTAGAACACTGGAACAGGTTGCCCAGAGAGGTGGTGGATGCTCCATCCCTGGAGACGTTCAAGGCCAGGTTGGACAAGGCCCTGAGCAACCTGATCTAGTTGGAGATATCCCTGTTCCTTGCAGGGGAGTTGGACTTAGATGACCTTTGAAGGTCCCTTCCAGCCCTAACCATTCTATGATTCTATGAAAAAACACAAACAAGTGAGGTAGTTCTGCAAAGGAGGTCAGTTCTGAAGCGTGATATTACGATTGAGCCAAATGTTCTGTAGTTAACACTGACTCAGGATACCTTTTTGGATGGCAGTCTCTGAATTGCCCTGGAGTTTCCCCCAAGATTCCATCGTGTCTGCAAGGACTAACAACGTGGAGTTGTACGTGCATGTTCATAGCCCCTTGCTTGTGGCACAGCTCTTCTCTCCAAACTGACGTGTCACCCATCGAATGGCAGGGAACATGGATGCAGCGAGTGGATAAAACATCCAAGGAAGAAAAGCTCTGGGGTCTGTAGGCAGCGATTCCTCTTGCTGCCCATGCCCACAACAACAGCATTCCCCTGACTTTTAAGGTTTTTAGATCTGTGTTTACGGTTAATCTTCACAGAATATTCGTGCGTGAAACGTGCCACTGTAGCGCACTGTACAGTTTTTACTGAGCACTGCACGTTAGGACTGGGGCATTCGGGTGCTCGTCTCTCAAAGATGAGCAAGGGCTTGTTTTCCCCTGCCCCATCTGTAGGCAGGCGTGAGGGGGAGCTGTGTGAAGGAAGGATAAATGGTGTCTGAGATGCCTCTTTTGAGTAGCAAGGAAACGATATCATTTTCCTGCTTCAGAGGGATATTAAGAACAGAGGAATGAGTTTGATGTGAGAAGATACTCCAGTAAGATAAAAATTTTGGCCGAGGGTAGATGAAACAAAATTTTTAAAGAGTTTGTTCTCTTTCTAGTGGTTGGAAGAGTCAAAGAATGAAGTTCAAACAGCAGTTTTGGTAGTAGATTTCTGATAAGAAAGATTAAATTGCCAACGAGGAAAAATACTGTGTTGAGAAATCCTGAGAGCAGCAAGCGTGTGTTTGAAAATCTGCCCTGCTCCTAACAAGTACTTTGAAGATGTGTTTGTAGCTTCAGAGTTTCATCTGGATTTTCCGTGATCCCAACCATCAAATTTTATTCTCTTGCTGTTGAGTATCAGCTTTTCTGCTTTCATTTAAATTGTATGAAATGGGAATTGAAGTAGCAAGTGACTTTGGCTTATATTTTAATTCAGATATGTAAATGTGTAGATATCAACATGTATTGACATCTCTTTGTGTTTGTTATGCAGGTTGTGGGAAACTGGTTGGAAGCAACGGTACTATAAAAACAAATTTGATGTTGATGCATCTGATGAGAAATTCCGTCGTAAAGTTGTACAGTCCTATGTGGAAGGGCTTTGCTGGGTGCTCAGATACTATTATCAGGTACTTCAAAAGTTCCTCTCTGAAACCTCAGTCGTCTTTTGTGTCTACACCCTCCTTCGTTTCAGGAAATAATAATAATTATCCATCGCTCGTTTTTGAAAAGCAGTGCTTTTTTTGAAGATATAAACCAAATAGGTTCCCATTCTATTTGACACTTGAGGTTTGAATGCAGTTTTTGTTTCTCCCATACAGTATCGGCACAGTTAGTTTATTAAGAACTGGTGCATGTTTTTCCTTTGCAATACGTAGCCATGCATAGTGAAACTGCAAATGAGTGAACAAAGGACAAAGCCTGTGAGATGCTGGTAAGAATTCGAAAGGAACAGAGTTGTCAGTCTCCTCCATAGAGTGTAATGATGTTCTATGGAGTGCATGGTGATTGAAGTAATCTGTATCTGCTTTAAATCTTTTGATAATTGAGATGTCAGATTGGCAAGAGATTAGTTAGACATATTGGGGCTTGTTGCACCAGTGGTTAATAACTAGCTTCGTGCCCTGCAGACAAAGTGAGTTATATTTTGTGTGTGACCTGGGAGCAGAATGTGCTCGAGCCGATGAAGTTTATCCGTCTCGGCGTGGCTTCGTAGCTTGAACATAGTGCCGTGGTGATAAAACTGCACGTTTTTCAGAGTTGGCTAGCACTTGGCCAACTTAGAGCACAGACAGGGCAGTACCTTGCATGCCTGCAAAAAACTGTGCAGTCTTCAAATTAGTTTATTTTAACATGTAGTCCTTTCCCCCCTACTCCTGGGAACAAAAAGGGAGTGTGTTCCCTTCCCTTCACTGTGTTAATTAGTCGAGTTTGTGCTCTGACTTGCACGTCATGGTGGATGAAACTCCTACAGGTTAAAGTTTGCAAGTCTGTTGCAGTTGATCTGCAGGAGAGGTGAGCTGTCTGCACCCTGGAGTAGCTCCTTTTGCAAAGGACAAATGTCACCTGGACACCTTCATAGGTGGAAATTCCAATGATCCTGAGCACAGTTAAGGTTTGCTGAAAGCAAACCAACTGTGGCAAGATACATTCCTAGAACTCTGTGTGTTCCTATATGTCTCTAAAGTGTGTAAATAAATCTTCAAATTAGCCATAGATGTCTGCTTGCTGGGAAGCTGTCAGCGTGACCCTCAGTGGTGCAGTGGTACAAAAGCACTGCAGAAGGCAGCCTGGATTTTGGGGGGAGCTGAAGGGCTTAGAGGAAGGGAGCGCATGGCAAAACTGAGATCGTATTTACGAGGTGACCATAATAGTTATACTCCTTTCAAGATGGAAAAATTAAGTTTGTTTTATTCCAAGAAGTGTGCCTGGGGGGGTGTGTTTGTCGCTTTGGGATCCATGACCTTGTGCAGACACCACAGCGGGCTTTGCAGCTGTTCAAACCGGGGTCGCATTTGCACGTGTGCTGTTGGGAGATTTGTGGCTTTAAATGTGCAGGAGCAGGAAGATGGGCATAAACCCAACTTAATACAGGCAAGTCCCTATGCAACACTCACTGGTTTGCTGGTGAAACCAATTTAGTGACTGAGATGTGTGTAGGTGACTCCTCGTCCTTCTGCGTTCGTAGATGTTCTGGCTGAAGTGACTGAGTGTATAGAAGTGATGGATGATTACAGTTGCAAAGAAAATAAATCAATGGGGTTGACAACAACTTGAGGCTTCAGGCAGGACCATAGTGCTCTCGAGAAAATTGAGGGGGAGCGCCAATAAGACCTCAAGGAAAAGTGACTGTACAGAAGATATTTTCTGGTTTAGAAGCGTTCCAAAGGAAAACTTGATGGAAGTACATGAATGTTTGGCTTCGGTTTTGCCGTTTTGCTTTGTATTCAGATTACTTGAAAAGAAGGCAAGTCTCTAGACCTTATAAAAATTACCTTGCAGATTTAAAATAGTGCAATAATGGGATACTTGCACGTGCTGCTGTTTATACCTGCATAACAGGACTACGTGTGGGCACAATAGTGCAACCTGGTGTCCCTGGGCCAGCGGTTGGGTCGGTGTGGAGCAGCGGTCAAATCACTTTCTGCCCATATGGAAGTTACATTAGGAAACCATTGGACTGAGGGAATTTCAAAATTGTTTTGCTTGAGGATTTTTTGTTTGTGGTGGTTTATTTTTTTTCTTTTTACCATAACAAGAATTACTTCCAATAACTACTGCTTGTGGTCCATAAAACTTCTGGCGATACGTTACGTGCTTTTCTGTTCTCACAAAAAGCTAATCATGCAGAGCATGTCCCACTAGTGAGAACATCTGTTTGGAGAGGGGAAGAAAAAAAGGCGAGGGGCAGAAACGAGTCCACCTGGCTTTTGAAACATGCTGAAGCCATCTGAAGAATTGCATCAAATAATTACAGTCTCTGTAATTTTATACCGAAAATATCACTGGAGGAGCCTCATTGACATTTACTTACTCAGAACTGGAAGTCAAAATAGGAGGCTTTTGTTTCAAGTGATACTGCCAAGAAAATAAGCTGAGGAGGTGAAAACTTGACTTAGACCTTCTAGAGCTGCGTTTCCTTTACAAAGTGCGCCGTGTTCTGATGTGTTTTGAGTTTACTTTATTTTCTCCTTTTTGAGGATTATTTTGCCTCTTCCAAGTGAATGCACTTTACATTTCCCAGTATTCAAGACAGAAGAATAAGAGGGGAGAAGGAAAGTGTGTGTTAGTGCTTGTACTGAAGGAAAAGTAACAGTTCAAACTTTTCAACCCGCAACAAATATTGTTCACATTTTCACACCTTGTGGAGTATATCATATGAGGGCTCTCCGGTCCCCCGTTCCCAACTTAGCAGTGGGATTTTGCACTGAAAAACAGTAGTACAAACTGTGTGTTGCCAGAAAAATACTTCTGTTCTTGTCGAGACCTCTGTGATGGCTTTCTGACCATCATGACTCTGCTGTTTATCCAGCTATGAAGAAATTCCTCCTCTGTGTCATCGGTGTGTGTTTCCCCGTTAGAGATGTGGGAGCAGCTCTACGCAAGTTGAAAACGGGTCTGGTTCTTACAGGCTCCTCAGCTTAGCCCCAGGGGCTGGTTAACTCTATGGACAGAGTGTGGTTCCTTACTCTGGGCAAGAAATTCTGTTGTGCTTGCTTTTATTGGGCTTTGTGCACATGCTCATGTGGTTTTTTTTCTCGAGGGGGAGGAAAAAGGTGTGAGGTATGTTACAGTGTCCTGAAGCGAAGGTGAAGATTCTGCTGTAAGGGCTCTGGTGGTGTTCTGGTGCTACTAGGTCCTGTCCCTCTGGCTGTCTCCCTTAGTGGCTCAGACCTAGCCCATGGCTTTTCCCATGGCAGGAGCACTTGGGCATAGAAGTGTCCCTGCCATTCTGGCTGCCAAGAAGATGCCCGAGGTCTCCATTCACTGCCCAGCGAACTCTCTCACTCTAGTCTGCCTAGGAAAAGTTCAGTCCCAACCTGAAGTCCTTTGGAGGCAAGAGCTCCTTCTTTTCTGATCATGGGGACTCCTCTTTCTCCCGCTTCATGCTGGGCTAAATTTTGTCATCTTCAGTGACCGGGCTACGTGAGGGGTTTTGTGTTTGTTTTTGTTTTTTTCTTTTTTGATTTGTCTGATTTTTTGTTTCTGGTACTTCTCTGCCGTAGGGCTGCGCGTCCTGGAACTGGTATTACCCTTTTCACTACGCTCCGTTTGCTTCTGACTTTGAGGGCATTGCAGACATGCCTTCAGATTTTGAGAAAGGCTCGAAACCGGTGAGGCATCTTTCTTTTATTTCTTTATGATTTAACAGCTCGTTAGAAGCGTCTCACGTCTGCTGCTTTAATTTCAACAGTTCAAGCCTCTCGAACAACTTATGGGAGTGTTTCCAGCCGCGAGTGGAAATTTCCTGCCACCATCGTGGAGGAAGCTGATGACAGATCCGGTAAGAATCCTTGTGTTCCTCCCCGTAAGGTTATGTCGTCTTGCAGTTGTGCGAGCAGGACTTGCAGCTGCTTTCTTCAGGGAGAGGAATAATGGAGACCAGGAAGGAATGGGTTTGGTAGATTGCAGAGATTCTTCAGAGATCCTTGAAAGGGACTCTTCGAATTCAGATGTTTCAGTGAGAAAAATTATTTCCTGACTCTCTTACACTTTAGCAAGGTTGTTTACTTTCTTACAGAAACCTTACAAAACTTAGGTTATCTGGAATTGTTCTATCCTGCTTAATTTCTGGGTTTGCTACTCTAAGCAATGGAAGTGCCCTACCACGCTTTGTGTCTAAATGGCATTTAATAAAAGGTATTTCTGTTAGTCAGAGTTCTTTGCATCCTCCTTAGCTTTGTGTTTGCTCGCCCTCTGAGAAGTACATGGCATTCCGAATCCATTTCATAATTGACTTTAATGATTTTTTTATCATTGTTTTCTCAAATACAGGAATCAAGTATAATTGACTTCTACCCAGAAGATTTTGCCATTGATTTGAATGGGAAGAAATATGCTTGGCAAGGTAAAATTTCAATTTTCTTTTTTTTTTTTTGAGCTATAGTATACTGACCTTAGCCTTAAGAATCTATGTAAAAATAGGAAGAAAATGGAAAATTATCTTTGTAAGATAATGACACACCAAGTCACACAGGTAACTCGTGTTACTTGGTGAGGGGGAGAAGTATTTTGCAGCAGGTATATTTTTGAAAAGAAATTAGTATGAAGAACAAATTATGGTTCAGTAACTGATTCAGGATTGGCAATGATTAGTAGTAATTTCAGCAGTTATTCTAGATTTGTTAATTTGTCTCGAACTAGATTAATCATTTTTCTATTTTTATCAGCCTTACTGTGTAATTGTCTTTTGTCTCCTTTGCATTTAATTAATGGATCTCGTTCCTTTCAATCAGTGGCTCATTAGTACCTCGCGAAAAATACTCCGGGGAATATAGGAATATTCGGATGCATACAAAGAATGAAAAAAGAGTTACAGTATTTAATGCAGCTTCTTCCCTCTTCAGAGAATATTAATTTTGAAAGCGTGCCAAATTTTGTGGCTGGTTACACTATTCAGCCAATAGCGTAACATCTCAATTATAGGTACAGATAATTATCTGGGCACAAAACGAAACACATGAAATTCCATCTGAGCAGAAGAAAGCACGTTTTTACTGTGAGGATGGTCAGACACTGGGACATGTTGCCTGGAGAGGTTGTGGAGTCTCCATCCTTGGAGATATTCCATACCCGGCTGGACACAGTCCTGGGCAACCTGAGCAGCCCATGACTGTGC